TTTTCCCATTTCTTCACTGGCTTATTTGTTTTTTGGGTGTTGAGATGGTAAGTTCTTTATAGATTTTGGATACTAACCTTTTTTCTGATATGTCATTTGCAAATATCTTCTCCCATTCTGTCAGTTGCCTTTCAGATTTGCTGATTGTTTCTTTTAATGTGCAGATTTATTTTCATGAGGTCCCAATAATTCATTTTTGCTTTTGTTTCCCTTGCCTCCAGAGACGTGTTGAGAAGTTGCTGCAGCTGAGGTCAAAGGAGTGTTTGCATGTTTTCTCTTCTAGGATTTTCATGATTTCCTGTCCTACGTTTAGGTCTTTCATCCATTTTGAGGTTTTTCTTGTGTATTGTGTAAGAAAGTGGTCCAGGTTCATTTTTCTGCATGTGATTGTCCAGTTTTCCCTGCACCACTTGTTGAAGATACTGTCTTTATTTCATTGGATAATCTTTCCTGGGTTGTCAAAAATTAGTTGGCCATACGTTTTGGGTCCATTTCTGGGTTCCCTATTCTCTTCCATTGATCAGAGTGTCTGTTCTTGTGCCAGTGACATAGTGTCTTGATGATGACAGTATTGTAATACACCTTGAAGCCTGAGACTGTGATGCCTCCTGCATTGGTTTTCTTCTTCTAGATTACTTTGCCTATTTGGGGTCTTTTCTGATGCCATACAAATTTTAGGATTGTTTGTTCTGGCTCTGTGTAGAATGCCTGTGTTATTTTGATAGGGATTGCATTGAATACGTAGATTGCTTTAGGTAGTATTGACATTTTAACAATATTTGTTCTTCCTTCCCAGGAGCATAGAATATTTTTCCATTTTGTTGTGTCTTCTTCCACTTCTTTCATAAGCTTTCTATAGTTTTTGGTGTATACATTTTTTTACCTCTTTGGTTAGATTTATTCCTAGGTATTTTATGGGTTTTGGTGCAATTGTAAATGGGATCAATTCCTTGATTTCTCTTTCTGTTGCTTCATTGTTGGTGTATAGGAATGCAACTGATTTCTGTGCATTGGTTTTATATCCTGCAACTTTGCTGAATTCATGGATCAGTTCTAGCCATTCTTTTGGTGGAATCTTTTGGGGAATTCATGGATCAGTTCTAGCCATTTTTTTTTTTGGTGGAATCTTTTGGGTTTTCCATATACACCATCATGTCATCTGCAAAGAGCTAAAGTCTGAACTCCTCCTGGCTGATTTGGATGCCTCTTATTTCTTTGTGTTGTCTGAATGCTGAGGCTAAGACTTCCAATACTATGATGAATAACAGTGGCAAGAGTGGACATCCCTGTCTTGTTCCTTAGGGGAAAGCTCTCAGTTTTTCCCCATTGGGGATATTAGCAGTGGGGGTTTTATATATGGCTTTTATGATCTCAAGGTATGATCTTTCTATCCCTACTTTCTTGAGGGTTTTTATCAAGAAAGGATGCTGTATTTTGGCAAATGCTTTCTCTGCATCTATTGAGAGGATCTTGTCCTTTCTTTTATTGATGTGATGTATCTCATTGATTGTTTTGTGGATATTGAGCCAGCCCTGAATCCAGGTATAAATCCCACTTGGTCATGGTGAATAATTTTTTTAATGTATCATTGGATCCGGTTGGCTAGTATCTTGTTGAGGATTTTTGTGTCCATGTTCATCAAGGAAATTGGTCTATAGTTCTCCTTTTTAGTAGGGTCTTTGGTTTTGGAATCAAGGTAATGCTGGCTGCATACAAAGAGTTTGGAAGTTTGCCTTCCATTTCTATTTTTTGGAACAGCTTCAAGAGAATAGGTGTTAACTCTTCCTTAAATGTTCGCTGGAATTCCCATGGAAAGCCATCTGGCCCTGGACTCTTGTTCTTTGGGAGATTTTTTATTATTAATTCAATTTCATTACTGGTTATGGATCTGTTAAAATTTTCTATTTCTTCCTGTTTGTTTTGATAGTGTATATGTTTCAAGGAATTGGTCAATTTCTTCCAGATTGCCCATTTTATTGGCGTATAATTGTTCATAATATTCCCTTATTATTGTATTTCTGCTGTGTTGGTTGTGATCTCCTATGTCATTCTTGATTTTATTTATTCGGTCCTTTCCTTTTACTTTTTGATCAAACTGGCTAGGGGTTTATCAATTTTGTTAATTCTTTCAAAGAACCAGTTTCTGGTTTCATTAATCTGTTCTACTGGGGTTTTTTTGGTTTTGATAGCATTGATTTCTGCTGTAATCTTTATTATTTCCTGTCTTCTGCTGGTTTTGGGTTTTATTTGCTGTTCTTTTTCCAGCTGTTTAAAGTGTAAGGTAAGGTTGTGTATCTGAGATCTTTCTTCCTTCTTTAGGCAGGCCTGGAGTGCTATATACTTCCCTCTTATGACCACCTTTGCTGTAGCCCAGATGTTTTGGGTTGTGGTGTTATCACATTGGCTTCCACGAACTTTTTAGTTTTCTCTTTTACTTCTTAGTTAGCCCATTCATTCTTTAGTAGGATGTTCTTTAGTCTTCCAGTATTTGTTACCTTTCCACATTTTTTCTTGAGGTTGATTTCGAGTTTCACAGTGTTGTAGTCTAAAAATATGCACGGTATGATCTCGATCATTTTGTACTTGTTGAGGGCTGATTTGTGTCCCAGTATGTGATCTATTCT